TGAGCTTTTACAATTGCTCGAGCTCTAAGGAGGAGGGGTTTTTTTGTCATTTTGAACTGGTTTTAAGGCTGTATGAGGGGGTGGTTTCTTTTCTTCTCCCTCTCCAGGGTGGCTAGGGCAGAGGAGGTTATCTTAAGGCACGTGAGGAGAGAGAAGCTGCCAGTGTGGCACAATTATTTCCAGGTTGCTTCATGGATACGGATGCAGCAGAGCCATGGACTGCCAGCAGCTCCCAAAAAAGTTGGGGTTTTTTTTCCTTTCTCAACACTTTGATTTCTGCTGAATGTTCATCCTAAAATGATGTTTCAGTGAATCATTTCTTTGTCTCTCCAGTAATAATCCCAGTGACAGTGCTTCCCCATTCCCACCAGCTTGCTTAGGAGCGATGAAGGCCATGTGGAGCCTCCTCCTCACAGGCAGCCAGGCTGCATTCCCCACAGTCTGTACTCTCTCATTTTCTATGCATTTCCAGATCCAAAACCTTCTGTTTTCTTTCCCTTGTTTGCTCTTGGCAAGCTATTGGCAGGAGACATCCTCTTAATGATCTTTTTCTGGCCTTCTAGACGACTGCTCAGACTTCTCCAGATCTTTCATTATTAACGCAGAAGCCTTGTAAGTCACTTTTAATGGTCTATGCAATTTTTATTCCTTAGCAGGAGACATCACCTCCTCCATATGGATATATGTTTATTAATATAAATCCTTAATATCATTTTGCCTAGTGAGAATAATCAGGAAGGGCCTCCTGGCATGTATTACACCTTGTCCTGGTTCATCCCCCAGTCCAAAGACAATCTTTGCCCTGCTCAGCATGGAGCAGGGCAGGGAGGAGTGGATAATCCTTCTCCTGAGGTTGCCAAGGCACCGAGTGACAGAGAGGTCCCTGAGCAGGGTCCTGCCATGTCCCTGCAGCCACAGCTCCACATCCTGAGCCACTGCTGCTTCCCTTCCCAGCCCCTCGCTGTTATTCCTGGAATTTCTCCAATCTCCAGTTCTGCTCTGACCAGGCTCAAGAGAAGGATGGGCTGTTGGTGCTGGGGATGTGTAAAGGATGCCAACAGACCCACGTTTTGTGTGTGACAATTTGCTGTTAATGCTCAGCTTTCAGGAGCAGCACTGACACTCACTCACTGACAGTTTTGATGGGGAGACTTGGAAAACAGGCCAAAAATCCATTGTTTACTCCTAAAGAGAATGTCCTCATTTCTTTCCTATAACCAAGGGGCAATTGTCCATTTATTTCATTAAACGTTCTCCTGCTGTACAAATTGAGTCCCATTTTTCTTTTAAACACATCCTCTGAGTCTCAAGATGGAGTTAAATAATAACAAACACCACAGAAGAAGCAGAAGCCATTCCCAGTGCTATTAGATGAGATTTCTGTTCTTCCAGTTGAGCAGGAATTGTTTTCTCCTGTCTCTTTTATAACTCCTCCATGTATCAGGAGACTTCTTCTGTTTAGCAATTAGCACTAAAGTTACTGTTACCCCTTCTGTAGTCATGATTTCCATCTTTTCTTTCCTCATTTACTACATTTCATCTAAGTTTGTCAGTGAAGAAGGAAACAGAGATACTCCGGCATGTCAATGGACAAAAAATGCCTGAAAATTTGTGACACTGAAGTATGTGTGAGTCCTGCTGGAATCTCAAAGCTGTCCTTCATTTTTACCCTTTTCTTTTTTTTTTTTTAACAAGGTGGCCCATAAAAGAGTTTAATCATGGCAACACAGCCCATTCCACCTGCCTTTACAGTTAAACTATGCTTAGTGACAAGCCACCAAACATAATGGGCAAAATTTATCTTCCCAGATGGTGAATTTTGCAGCACAGATCACACCAGCAAGGCCACAAATTAATCTCCAGTGTCACAAGCATTTCATGGCACACATGTATAGATCATCTGTCAACAGAGGCAGCAACACGAGTGGCAGGCACAGCAAAGGCTCTAAATGCACACTGAGCCCAAATTCTGCCCCCTGACACATCCCTGTCCTTCACTGACACCCAGCCACCCTGGCTGGATTCCAGTAGGAAAAGAAACAAATGTATTTTATTTAAAACACAGCACCAACTCCACCTGAAATTCGAGTTATTGAGCGAAAACAACCAACCAAGACTTTGCTCAAGGCAAGCCAAATCGGTTTGGACTGCTGGAAGGGGCTGGAGTGATAGCTGGAGCTTCACAAACAAGCTGAAGTGTCACCCTGTGAGTGACACGATGGGGAGGATGGGGATCTAACAAGCAGGTGTCTCTCAACACATTGCTGAATCAAGGAACTGCTTCCAACTGCTCTTCCGTTTCCAAGCTTGGTTAAGAATCACAGATTTCACCAAAACAAAAAAGAATCAGTTCCCATATGAGAACTGAAGTCAGTTCTGCTAGGGAAAATCCAGCATAAAATAAAATACTATGCAACACAGCATGAAATAGTAAAGAGGTGCATAAAATTGAGCATATCTGCTCCTTTGCATCCTGTCAGAGCTCAAGGCTGCCATCAAATGCTGTGCTGAGAATGACTTGGTTTTGATCTATCCTCTCATATGAGCCAGACCCTGCTACACTTACAACAGATATGATTAAAAACTATCAGTTATATTAGGCAAAAATGTATTTCCCAAGGCAAACATTCACTTCAATGTATTTTTCTCTGGCTATAACACACACAAATTCTATATACATAAGAACCTTCTGGTTTTTCACAGACATTAGCATTGAGCAGAAAGACAGGGAAAGCTGGCGAGGGAAACTGCATAAATTAGATGTAGACACTATAGTGCTTCTCTTTCCCTCAGCATCATTCCCTGCCTTCCATGCAAACTTCAGCTGGAAAATCTCTCCCTGGACCCAACAAATATCATTCAAACTAATCACAGCATCAGTTGCAAAGGACTCTTTCCATCCTGAAGGGCAGGTGAACCACCAGCAGAATTGCATTCTGCCTCTCACTTTCAGCATTCAACTGAAGGATAAATAAAAATACTTTCAGGTTTCTCTGATGAAAAGCACAATGCAAGCAAAGCCAAATAAAAGCCCAGACAGGCTAGACTACAGAGAGCCAATAGTGAATTTTCCAAGGAAATATTTCTGGGCACGTAAAACATGCTGATTTATTGTAACAGAAATATTTCCTGGAGATGAACAGATTCCATACACTTTTCAAAGAAGGAAATCCCCATGGAAACCTGCCTGCCTTCCCAGCAGCTGGGGAGCACTGAGATGGACGTTCCACATGTTGGGAGAACACCTGGCAGCTGGAGCCATGCAAACCCCATGGGCTGTGGGACAAGCTGAGGTCTCTTGTGGATCACCCCAAGGCTCCCCAGTCTGCTCCCTCATTTTCTGCTTCCCTGAAAACCCAGGTTAGTCACTTGCTCTGTGCTACCAGGACCTGTTTTGCTTTTGAAAGACAGCATTTCAAGTGTCTCTTTTTGAAGAAGTTTTTGATTATTTCCTGGCCAGCAGAAATATCAAAACTTTACCCTTGCACCATTATTTATGAGGTAAATGCTAGTTTAGAAATTCCAGTGGAAGGAAAACATCCTCATCTTAGGCTGTCTTTAATACCTTGGGAATTTTATCTGTGGTGTGGGGAAGAGAACAAAACCCTGAGAATTAAGAGCTGATGTTAAATCCTTGCAGAGCCTTAGGCAAATTCTATAATCTCTCTGCTATAGCACCGGGGATCAATAGACACCTGCTGAAACCCGACTGCTCCATGAGGCCGGTCCATCTACTGGTGATGGATGCTGGCCAAATCCATGTTTAACAAATTAAAAACAGTAAATCCATGGAAAAGCACGAATAAGTTATGTTTAAAGGAAGATCCTTCCTGACCCAAACCTTTTAAAGTTTGGTTAAACCCCATTATATTTCTCACACATTTTCCCCTCTTAGCAGAGCTGTGCTGTGAACCACTTGTCCCCCATTCAGGCAGCAATCTGTAAGTTTATTAATATGCATGTGCTATTTCACAAATGCTGAATGATTTGAAAGTGCTGCATAAGGTTTGCTGTCTGTTTTCTCAACATCTGTCCCCAAAGTGCACTTCTGTCATGTTCTGCTCCCGTTGTTCCCGGATCAAGAAGTTGGAAGTAAGGCACGATTCTGCTCTGAGGTTTCCTTGCACGTGCTGCAGCTCCTCCTTTCCCAAGAGTCTCACATCCTTACAGCACATGACACTTTCCAATTACCTTTTGGCCCTTTTATTCCCCCAGTTTGGCTCACATTTCTCTCTGAATTTGGTCCCTGTGCAGCTCTGAACCCAGAGTCTGACAGCTAAGGACACAACAAATACGCAGCACTAACCCTGGGGGTGGTGAGAAATGCCTGAACTCTCCTATTACAGACAGATTCACAAGGAAAGGTCAACAGAGTCCCCAAACTTAAAAAACAAAAATGGGCCACGAAACAAGCAATCAAAAGCTTGAATGATCTCACAGGAAAACTGAAGACAACTTGCAAAGTTTGGCCCCAAATCCTGGCTCTGCCAAAGGATTCCTACAGAGTCTGAGCTCATTTTCTCACCTCTCAGCTCCCCTCTGCACAATGCAACAAAAGAGTTCTCACCACATTTGACCTGTGCAAGATGTAGCCTGTACATTTTGGAAAGATGATGATAATAAAGTTGATAAAAACAGAGGAAACTTCACCAAAGAAACAGAAAACCCTCCTGCAAACTCTTCAGCAAAACACATCGCAGCTGTTACCCTGGCTGACTTACAGAGGCAGAATTTAAGAGGCAGAATTATGACTGGAAGCAAACATTAAATTAAAACAAAAAATAATCAAACCAACATTTATAGCACATACTTTAAAATCAATGTCCATGTTCCAAAAAGTGTCATCCACACAGATAATTCAAGACTACTTATAGTTTTCCCCTACTCAAGAGGAAATGCAGAAGTTGTCTCATGAAAACATTAAACATAACCAAAGATTTACACCTAGCATTGATTTACCCCTATCTGTTTTGCATACAATACATAAAAAATTCTCTTACCTTAATACAAACTGGTCTGCTAGCGAGTAATCAGCCAGGAAAACATGGAAGGTCACAATGTCACCCTCTCTGACTGGGCTGAGTGGCAAGTGAATAAGGATATTTTCATCCACCCTCAGTGAAGATTGCTTTAATTTGTCTTGATTTGGGTAAACAACGATGCTACCAATCCTCTCCATAGCTGACAAAGCTTGGTGTTCATTCTCTTCACCTGCATGGATATTGTTTTCCCATTTTGCATCCTCTGGAGAGCATTCCCCATCCACTGAATAAATCTTATAGAAGAGCTCCACAGTAATCCCTTCCAGGGAGGATGTTTCCTCTGAAACCAGAGGTGGAGGGGAGCTGAACCAGCTGGGAGACAATTCCAACTCCACAACACATAATCCTAGGTGGCCTGTCAATCTACAGCTGGCCACCACTTCTCTGGACTCCAGGAAAGCAAACATCTTCACACAAGGCAGCATCTCCTCGGAGTCGTAGTCATCCCAGTCCTTCCCCGCAATATAGAACAAGGTTTGTATTTTAGGTTTGTTGGAATAGATGGAGCTGTTGATTATGTGGGATTTTAATTTCCAATTAAAAGTGAATTTATTTGTGAAACCAAAAGATGCAGAAGTCAGCATAAGGTCCAAGGGAACGGGTTGTTCAACAGAAAAGGGTCCGTACGTGGCATTTAGGACAGGTGGCTGCTTGGCTTTGTATATAAAGAATGAATCCACCCTAGACTGCAAACTGGAGTTCCTCATGATATCCTGGTTGGCTTCTTTGAGGAAGAAGAAAATATCAGCGTTGGAGACGTGAGGGCTCGCAGGGAGATACGTTGGCAGGTTTGAGAATCTCTGGATGCTGTCCATGATCCCTCCTCGGCTCTCCACCACTGCAGGCCAAAGAGAAAAGGAAACAGAAACACAACTCAAATGTTTGCTTAGCACGGCCTCAGTTTCTGACAAAAGCAATGGATTACAGGGGATCAATACTGCTGGCCACAATTACAGAACAATCTGACACAGGCACCGTGGAATAACACTTTTGTTCAAAGCTCAGGCTGGAAACACTGCATCAGCTGTACAGCTCCCTTTCCACCTTCCCCAATCTGTTATCTGCTTGAAAGCCATTAATCTAGTACTGGCTACCACAAAGAGAGGATTGATTGGCCACATCCCAAACTAACTTCCAAAACTTTTTACTGGCACTCTATTTATTTATTTTTTTTTATCATCAGATCAAACTTTCAGCTTCTCACCCGTGTCTCAATGTGCCTAAGAAACTGGCATATTGAATATTAGTAGCAGTAAAACAGAACAGTTTAAGCAGTAAAAACTGAACATTTTCTTTAATCTACCATCACTAACACACAAAGCAATGAGGACTGAACATCTGCATCACTCCCAATCCATTCTGCCAGGTCAGCAGCTTGGAAGTCAGTGAGAACCTGATAAAAGCTTCATGTTCTTGAAACCAAAACCTTTCCCACTAAAATATATGGGGTTTGATAGAGGTCTCAGTGGGATGGATTTAGAGGAAAGGGTGAACCTGAAGGAGAGAAGGAGAAATCCTTTACACACAGAAGGTTCTCAGTCACTTAGAAGGGTTTTTTTGGTTTAATTCCTGAGGAGAATGGAACACATTCAGAAACCACTGAAGTTTCTCTATAACACAATGGTCAATGCTCCAGCCAGCTCTGAGCGATTTTTCCCAGGAAAGAAAAGATTCCAGAGGGAGGGAGGGATCAAACAGACATCTTTGTTTGGGCTGATCTCTAATTAATAGTGGGATATATTCAGTCTGGGCCGTGATTCTACCAGAAACAGTGGCTCTTTCAAACTAACAATTCGTACTCTCCAACAAAAAGCCGGTGAATCCGAGCTCCTGGGACTGCCTCCGAGGAAACAAACAGAAACACAAGGAATTAAAATGCAGCAGTTCCATAATGCACAGAGATAACAAAGGCACAGTGACAGAGCCTAAGGTCAAAGCTCTCGTTGTCTCTCTGAAGCCCAGTGGTGATTTCACTGTTTGTCAGGGCTGGGCAGAGCAGATACACAGCACACAAACAATTACACCTGCTCAAGCCAGATGACTCAGATACTTGCAGCCACAATTTAGCAGAGATAAAAGCTCTAATATTTAAGCTATTTTTTTCAGGTTGTGTATTTTTAAAGCCTACATTTATCAAAGACAGATTCTAAGGCAAATCCCATCCATTTGACTTTGTCCCGCTCTTGCTCTCAGCTGAAATTCTGGTCATTTGTTTTTTGATAGTTTGATATTATCTACAGGTGTTTAAATGCCTCTCATTTCACCACAATACTTTTGCCTTTACTTTTCCTGTATATTTACTTGTGTCAAGGGGCTTTTCTCAGCCATTGGAATATTCTTGGGAATGAGTAAACATGCAAAAATATACGCAAGCTGCCAAAAAAAAATTCTCAGCAGGAAACTCTCTACCAACAATCTCCTCTCTCAGCACTGCAGGTGGGGATCAGGTCAGGGCTTCCTCTCAGCTCCACAGTGTTATAAATCCATATTGTGATATTGGCTTTTGCAAGTATTAAGATGAATGTTATATGTTATATGCTTTTGCTATGTCTTTTTCTCCTGCTAGCAAATTTTAGGCGTAGGTCAAGAAGAATTTTAGACTTTAGGGGAATGTCCTGTCTGTACAAAGCAAAATAACCTCCAGGGAACAGATGATGGGGCCCAGGCTGCTATCAACACTGCCCACCTGTAGAAGAAGGAACCCCAGCCCAAATAAAAAGAAGATAAATGAGAAATTAAGAACAAATGCATGTGCTGTATAAAGGCAGACCTGGGGAGTGGCCACACAAACTAATTCTTAGAAAAGTTTGAATATGCATTAAAACCCAACAGCATCATGGGGTAAAAGGGGTGTTCCAAAGATACCAGGTGTGCTCCTGGTAGCATGCCAGGGCACCTGGCTGTTTTAACCCTTTATTATCTTTGTCTCCTAATTGTTTTTTTTTGTTTATATTAAACCTTTTATAATTTATTAAACGAGTGAACCTCGTTTTTCACAGCAGGCAAATGCAAATGCAGCCCCACCTGGGTGTCCCCTGCCACCAGCCCAGCTCTGGAGCACACCATCACAGCCATGTGCTGTGTCCAAAGTGGACTCTGATCCTGGAAAAGCTGAGGCAGGCAGGGAAGAAAGGGCATTTTTTTCTCTGCAAAAAATTCAAATGCAGACAAGCCCCTTTCTGGATTAATTGTAACTAAATTGAACCACATTTGAAAGTTTTTATTTATCATAAAAACTTTGCAGCTGTACAGATAAGCAGCCAAGCAGATAAGCAAGGAGCCAGAGCAGCAAGAGGACCCTCTGATTCCTGGAGCAAGAGCTAAAATCTCCTTCCCCCAAGGCACACCAGGATGCAGAAGAGATTTAAACACTGACAGAGCTGCAAACCAAAAACAAGACAAGGCTTAAATGCATTTGTGTTTACATTACAGGACTCCCACACACACTTTATGCAGATATTTTATCTCTCTCAGGCAGTGATTTACAGGAAGTTTAGAAGGGATGTTTTTCCCTTTCCTCCATTTTATTACAGTGGCAACTTTTCAGTGCCTCTGCTCAGAACTGGTATGAGGACTAGGATATCATCCCACTGTAACTCAAACAAAATGAGATACAAATTTTGTCTGAAGGCTTATATGGGAAGCTATAAACATCAGTAGACAGGGCTGGGCTTTGTCCTAGAACCAGCCTGCAACAAAATATGATATCTGAACTTAGCAGCATTTTATGATGTTTTAGGAAGATCTAAAAAGAAATACTTCATACGATGGCAGGCCAACACCCCACCTTTTTAATTCAGCACGTCAGCACCACAGCATCAATCTCCTTACAGCAGCAATCAGAAACCAGACACTTTTGGAGCTCTCTGATGTGCAATAATGCAATGAAAAAATTACCTGCTCCTTTAACAAGCAATCCAGCTAGATCAAAGAGGGCAGAACATTAGACCAGAACGTGGGTTAGTTCTAATTAGGTACCAAAAGAGAGCAAGAGCTGAGGAAAAGTAAATGGAGACCAAATGAGCATCCCCAGAGCTTTCTGACACAGAACAGCCTGGTTTGCTCAGCCTGCTGGGGCACTGGGGGTGTTGAGGGGAGATGTGTGGAAATGAAACACTGTTGGATGTGAATTGAGATATTTAGTTGGAATTTTGGAAAAACTTTGACCTTGTAACAGGTTCTCTCTCCAGATGCCCCTTCCTGGGCCTGACCCTGCTCAGCTCAAATGAAGCTTCTGTTCTTTTCTCTTGATATTTTTTTATCTAATCATAAAATTATCCATCATTTTTGGTTTTAATCTCACTTGACCCTGGGCTGCCACCACAAAAAGTGGCACAGGACTAAAAGAGATGCAAAGCCAGGGCTGCAGGTCAGACTGTGCAATAAAAATCTGCCATTCAAGGAACTCCAGATTTCATCAAAGCTACATTTCGCAGAATTCATGCTTTTTAATAAGAAATAAAACAAATATTCTGCTGGAAGACAGTGGTGGCAGTGGCAGGGTGGTGTTAAAGACAATGCATCTATTTTAAGTTGTAGTAAGAGGAAATTCTTTTAAAACTATCTTTTTGTAGCTAAAAAGGAAAATAGCTCCTGATGGAACATAAATTGAAATTTCACACCTAAATCTTGTCTCTGCTTTAGCAAACTACTTAACAGGAGCCAAGTCTTCCATAAGCTATCAGTAATTCTGAAGCTGGAGGTGCAAGGAACAACAACTGTTTAAAATTGCAACTCTTTCAATATCCTTTTTCTCTGAAAACAAACAAGAAGCCAATCCTGCACCTGTGGAAAAACTGTGAAAATGTTAAAATTCATCTTTCCTGCAGCATCATCAGAACTGTACAGCGAGCTGATACAGACACTCCTCTTTGTAAAAGAGGAATAATTTCAAGTAATGTGGTGCCAGTAAGTGCTATGATGTTATCCATGACTCATAGAGGCAATCAATGGCTTGTCTGTACAGGAGAAAAATCACCAGCCCCTCCCAGCAGCCCTCACTGAAACACCATAAAGATCAAACTACACATGTACATTATTCCACTATAAAAATGGCTCTATTCATAATAATTATTTTGTCCTGGAATTGCAGGCATTAGCCTTGAATAAAAACACACTGTATCCCAGAATAGGCCGTCTACACAAGGAAAGCTATTCTGGAACTCATAAATGATAGGAAAATAATTAATCTGGACCAGCTGTGTAGGTCACTGCCTCTGATATAGCCAGGGATGCTGCTCAGAGATCCCAGCTATGAGAGGCTGTGCGAGGTGATTTGCCCTGGCCACAGCTGGGAAAACTCTGTCTCCTGAGCCAGGAGGAGGAGGAGGAGGAAGATTAGAGTGTGGAAGTCTACTACGAGTTTATTCATCATTTGAGCACTGTGAGTAGGCTAAGCCTGGCTTGGTGAGGATTTTGGGAGCCTGGATGAGCACCCACCTCGTGCTCTCCCTGACTCACTCCAAGTGTAATGAAATGCCCAGGAAAGGAGGATGTCACTGTTTACTTCCTACATTCAGAGCCCATCCTGTGACTCATCTCCTCAGTTTTACATTCATAAGGAAAATGAGGAGAACCCTCCACAGTCCCCCTGAGGGGTAAAATTCCATCACCCAACTAAAGGAGGAAAAATTCCATCACCTTCCATTCACAAAGAAGCCTTACTCCTTTAATGTTTGCCTTGGTTATCCAGCAAACTCCACAGGCACAGAAAAAGAGCCATAATGACAATTAGTGTTTTCAGCTGTAACAGAATAATTTGAAAATACAAATGATACTGAAAGAAAGAGTTAAGAAGTGCTCCCAGTATATTTTTAACATTAAAGTTAGACCAGAAGC